GGATATAATAGGGCTCAGTGAGATTAGGAGGACAGATGAGGCCTATACGGTGCTACAGAATGGGCACGTCCTTTGCTACAGGGGCTTGGCAGACAGAAGAGAACTGGGAGTGGGGTTCCTAATTCACAGAAACATAGCGGGCAACATAGAGGAATACTATAGCATTAATGAAAGGGTGGCAGGTATCGTAATTAAACTGAATAAAAGATACAAAATGAAGGTAGTACAGGCTTACGCGCCTACATCCAGCCATGATGACGCTTCAGTTGAAAGCTTCTATGAAGACGTGGAATCGGCAATGAGTAAGGTAAAAACACAGTATACTATGGTGATGGGCGACTTTAATGCAAAGGTAGGGAAGAAGCAGGCTGGAGACCAGGCAGTAGGAGATTATGGCATCGGTACTAGAAACGCCAGAGGAGAGCTACTAGTAGAATTCGCAGAACGCAATAATTTACGGATTTTGAATACCTTCTACCGAAAACGAGAAAATCGCAAGTGGACATGGAGGAGCCCTAATGGCGAAAATAAGAACGAAATAGACTTTATAATGAGTGCACACCCTGGAATCGTTAAGGATGTGGAAGTGATTGGCAAGGTACGATGCAGTGACCATAGAATGGTACGGTCTCGAATTCGCCTAGACTTGAAGAAGGAACGACAGAAACTGATACGCAAGAAGCCAATCAATCAGCTAGCACTGAGAGGGAAAGTACAGGAATTCGGAGTGTCGCTGCAGAACAGGTATTCGGCTCTTAGTGAGGAAACCAACCTTAGCGTAGATACAATGAATGATAATCTGACGAGTATCATTACGGAGTGTGCAGTGGAAGTTGGAGGCCGGGTAGTTAGACAGCACACTGGCAAGCTTTCCCAAGAAACGAAGAACCTAATTAAGAAGCGTCAAATCATGAAAGCGTCAAGTACAACAGACAAAATAGAACTGGCAGAGCTTTCGAAGTTGATTAATAGACGTAAGGTATGCGATGTAAGAAGGTATAACATGGAGAGAATTGAACACGCTCTGAAAAACGGAGGAAGTGTCAAAGCATTGAAGAGGAAACTTGGGATAGGCAAAAGTCGGATGTATGCACTAAGGGACAAAGAAGGCAAAATAACTACCAATATGGATAGGATAGTTAAAATAGTGGAGGAGTTTTACAGAGATCTGTACAGTAGCCGAGACAACCACGACCTTAATACTATAAGAACTAGCAGTAACCCAGATGACACCCCACCAGTAATGATAGAAGAAGTCAGAAAAGCTTTGGAGAGCATGCAAAGAGGCAAAGCTGCTGGTGAGGATCAGGTAACATCAGATTTGCTGAAAGATGGAGGACAGATTGTGTTAGAAAAACTAGCCACCCTGTTTACGAGGTGTCTCCTGACGGGAAGAGTACCAGAGTCTTGGAAGAACGCTAACATCATCTTAATACATAAGAAAGGAGATGACAAGGACTTGAAGAATTACAGGCCGATCAGCTTGCTCTCTGTAGTATACAAGCTATTTACAAAGGTAATTGCTAACAGAGTAAAGAAAACATTAGAATTCAATCAACCAAAGGAACAAGCAGGATTTCGAACAGGCTACTCAACAATTGACCACATTCATACTATCAATCAGGTAATAGAGAAATGCTCAGAGTATAACCAACCACTATACATAGCCTTCATAGATTACGAGAAGGCGTTTGATTCAGTAGAAATATCAGCCGTCATGCAAACACTGCGGAATCAGGGCGTAGATGAAGTATATATAAACATTCTGGAAGAAATCTACAGGGGATCAACTGCTACCATAGTGCTTCATAAAGAAAGCAACAGAATACCAATCAAGAAGGGTGTAAGGCAGGGGGACACAATTTCCCCAATGCTATTTACCGCGTGCTTACACGAGGTTTTCGGAAGCCTAGAATGGGAGCAGTTAGGGATAAGAGTCAATGGAGAATACCTTAGTAACCTGCGCTTCGCCGATGACATTGCATTGCTGAGTAACTCGGGGGACGAATTGCAACTCATGATTACGGAGTTAGACAAGGAGAGCAGAAAGGTGGGTCTTAAAATTAATCTGCAGAAAACGAAAGTAATGTACAACAACCTCGGCAAGGAGCAGCGCTTCGAGATAGGTAATAGTGCACTTGAAGTTGTAAAAGACTATGTCTACTTAGGGCAGGTAATAACCGCAGAGTCGAACCACGAGATTGAAGTAACTAGAAGAATAAGAATGGGGTGGAGCACATTCGGCAAGCACTCTCAAATTATGACAGGTAGATTGCCACTATCCCTCAAGAGGAAGGTATATAACAGCTGTATCTTGCCGGTACTTAGCTACGGAGCAGAAACCTGGAGACTTACAAAGAGGGTTCAGCTTAAATTGAGGACGACGCAGCGAGCAATGGAAAGAAAAATGGTAGGTGTAACCTTAAGAGACAAGAAGAGAGCAGAGTGGATTAGGGAACAAACGGGGGTTAAGGATATCATAGCTGAAATCAAGATGAAGAAATGGACATGGGCAGGGCATGTAGCGCGTAGACAGGATAACCGCTGGTCATTAAGGGTAACTGACTGGATTCTCAGAGAAGGGAAGCGGGTTAGGGGGAGACAGAAGGTTAGGTGGGCAGATGAGATTAAGAAGTTTGCGGGTATAAATTGGCAGCAGCAAGCACAGGACCGGGTTAACTGGCGGAACATGGGAGAGGCCTTTGTCCTGCAGTGGACGTAGTCAGGCTGATGATGATGATGGTGACATTTGCGCACTGTGTTTTCTAGGGCTTTGTCCATTCCCGGCCACCATACTACTGACCTCGCTAATGCTTTCATTCGGGTTATACCTAAGTGCTGCTCGTGCAGCAACTGCAAAACATTCTTGTGCAATGATTCCGGTACTACCACTCTGTTTGTCCATATAACGCACCCGTTGTCTACACTGAGCTCGAGCCGGCGTACCCAGAACGGCTTTAGCTGCTCCGACACGGTCTTGGGCCATCCATGCCAGATCATGTCGCGTACAGCCCTCAGCACTTTATCGCATCCTGTTTCTCGACTGACATCATTTGACGTTAAAGGCAAGTCGTTTAGTGCTGAAAAGTAGAAGATTTCTTCGCACTTGCTACCTGTGTCAGGTAACGGTAAACGGGACAATGCGTCTGCATGCTGGATAGCTGATCCTGGTTTGTGTTTGATTCTATAGGTGTAGTCGGCCAAAAATGTCAGCCAACGATGCACTCGTGCCGTGGCTACTGCACTGCCCTGCCGTTTAGGGTCAAACAAAATTGTCAAAGGTTGGTGATCTGTTATTATGTTAAAGGGCCGTCCGTAAAGGTACTTATGAAATTTTTTTACAGCAAATACAATACTAAGTGCTTCTTTCTCAATCTGCCCATAGTTACGTTCGGCCGCTGATAATGACCGCGAAGCAAAAGAAACCGGCTTTTCCTCACCGTTCACCAAGTGCGATAGCACAGCCCCTAACCCGTAATCAGAAGCATCACGTGTGATCCAGATTTCTTTTTTTACGTCATACAACTGCAACACAGTCTTATCAGTCAACAGTTCTTTGCATCTTTCGAATGCTTCATTACATTCGCGTGACCAGTGCCATGTAGTTTCTTTTCGCAACAACTTGTGCAGTGGTTCCAAGATCGATGCTAAATTTGGCAAAAATTTTCCGTAGTAATTAATCAAACCTAAAAAGGCCTTCAACTGACTCACGTTAGTAGGCCTTGGCGCTTTTCTGATAGCTTCAACTTTTTCCGCTGTTGGGTGTAAGCCGTGCTTGTCGATCTCGTGTCCCAGGTATGTGACGCGTTGCTGAAAGAAGCTGCATTTCCTTGCGTTCACTTTTACGCCGTGTTTACTTAGGCGTTGAAGAACTTGCTCCACCCTTTCATAACACTGCCCGTCGTTCTCACCAGCGATGACTACATCATCAATGTAGCACGCGGTTCCAGGCAGATTACGCAGTATCTGGTCCATGACCGCCTGGAAAATAGCTGGTGCGCACGCTACGCCATACGGCAAGCGGCGGAATCTAAACAGACTTAGGTGGGTGTTAATAGTGAGCAGTTCCTGCGCTTGTTTGTTTAGTTCGAGTTGCAAGTACGCTTTTGAGAGGTCTATGATAGAAAACACAGTTCCACCCTGAAGATTTGCGAATATGTCTTCAGGAAGTGGCAAGGGATACTGATCGACCTTGATGGCTGGGTTTACTGTGACGCGATATTCGCCACATAATCTCAGTTCTTGAGTGTTCTTTTTTGGAACAATCACAAGAGGCGTTGCCCATGGACTATGTCTGACCTTATATATGACTCCAGCTTTTTCTAGCTTGACCAATTCTTGTTCAACGCGCTCGCGCAAAGCGTATGGCACTGGTCGCGCTTTCATAAAGACAGGGCGCGCGTCATCCTTCAATTCAATGCTGCATTCGAATCCCTTAATTGTACCAAAACCCGCGCCAAACACTTCGGGAAATTTCTCAGCAAGCAATGCCTCCTTAGCCACCACATTTACTGAAAATACTTCCTGCCAATTTATTTTGATTTTAGAAAGCCAATCTCGGCCAAACAACGTGGGCATTCTAGCACCCTGCGTTTCTTTCGCTATGACAAGTGGCAGTTCAAAACACTGGTCTTGGTATTGCACCTTTACATCCATAATACCAACAGTAGGGACCGTCGTGCCATTGTACGTGGCTAGTTTGACATTTGCTTGCCTGCAAGAGGCGTTTGGGAAGTGTTTAGCACACTCTGTTTCTGACATTGACACCGCTGCGCCCGTGTCAAGTTCCATGGGTATCACTTTATCATTTATGCAAACCTTGATTACAATGGCGGGCATACCTTCTTTGTGGTTCGTATTATACAGAGATAGCAGTTCGTTAGTATTTTATTTCTCGCATTCTTCGCTCTCTACTTTATTTACAAGATTAGATTTGCACATTTTAGCAACATGACCCCTTTTTGTACGCCTATAACAGGTACTGTTCAGAAATCGGCAACTCACGGGTGAATGCTGTCCTCGCAACGATGACACATTCTTTTCGTTTGTTCTTTCGCTGCCCCATTTTCCTTGTCCCAGCTGGACTGCGTCGGCGCTTCCCTCGAAGGTGCTTTACTCGGTTGTGAGATTTTCCGTTGCCAGTAGATGTCCTCCGTTTCTACAGCTGCTCCTTTAGAACTGGTTTGCAGCATTTCTTTCGTGTCTTGTGTTGCCGCTTCCATGGCCATGGCTACGCTGCATGCGCGTTCCCACGTTACTTCCTCGTCTGGCATTGCCAATAGCCTGCACCGTACTCCCTCGGTACGTATTCCAGCGACGAGCCGGTCACGCAATGCTTCGGTCAAAAAGGCACCGAATTCGCATGTTGCCGCGAGTTTCTTCAATTCGACTATAAAGTCTGCGACAGTCTCATGCGGCTCTTGCTTTCGCTGGTGAAAACGATACCTTTCGGTGACCACGGAGCGCTTGGGAGCGTAATGCTTCTTCAGAACGTCAACAACTTCCGTGAATGACGTCTTAGCTGGTGTTTTAGGCAGCAGCAAGCTCCGAAGCGTGACGTAGGCCTTCTCACCTATAGCCGTGAGAAAGATTGGAAGCTTCTTGTCTTCCGCGATGTCATTGGCCGCGGCAAATACTTCGAACCGCTCCAGGTATACCTCGAAGTTATTGTCCTCTTGTTGGAACTCGGGTAACTTACCGACAGTGGTCGCCATACTCAGTTCAAGCTGGTTAGAGTGGGATTCCTAGAAGCCTGCGGCGGATCCCATCCTCGTCGCCAGTTGTTATATCCCGACACCGGGCACATGGTATATCACATCTTTATTACTGAGGCGCACACTGCCAGCCTCAACACAAGCAGTACAAAACAGAATAACCCCCTCCAGATACTGTGGACAGTATATGTACACACGCTATCTCTCGGCGCATGCGCAACTGGCAGTAGCTTGAGAGCATGCATACAAACCCCGCGACTGACGTCACAACATGTATATACACACACAGCGTTTCTCACGTCTTTACATGATGATCGACTGGGCGAATTACACGGAAGATTCACAGTTTACCGATGAATCCCTCCGGAGCTTCGCCCATTCATCATCATTCACCCCGTGAATATGCCGTAACTTTTTTTTCTCTTAAAATCACTCTAAAGCTATTCACTCCACGCATTCTTGAAAATTCTGGGTCGTTTTGAAGTCACAATGTCATTAGGATTAAATTCGCTGGCGTCTGGATTAAATCGGCTGGCAATTGGATTAATTTAGTGGCACTTGGATTAAAATGAAAGGCACCTGGATTAATTCGAGTGGCGGCTGGATTAAATTGACTGGCAGCTAGATTAATTTGGCTGGCGCTTGGATTAAATTGAGCGGGAAAACCTGTAGTCGTGATGTTTTTTTCTCTGATGTTGGTGTTGGATTGGACTGTAATCTGTTTGAAATGGCGAGAACCGCCTCTGCCCGTGGGGTCGTGGTCGCTTTCTGTCGTTAGAAAGTGATTCATACGCAAGTCGCTGCTGCTTTTGTTGATTCCTGTGATGTCGCCGTGTTCAGGAACTTCTCATCCGTGCTTATCGAGTAGTTAACGTCATTCGCCCGAAGCACAGAACACCTACCAGTCCGAAGTGTTTGCCACCGAATCTACACGCAATGATAACGAGCATAAAATAAAGGCCTTTGGAACGCGATTTGTGAATGTTGGTCTGACGCATGTACTACGCGGATGTATGGTAGGTGCATGCGTGTTGCTTGAGAACCGATCAAACAGCTGGTGTCACTTGGGAGAAAGTATATATTGTGCCAACGCTTTCGTTGAAGCTTGTTCTTGCGTAAGTGCGCGAGATAGATACGGAATGCACAAGTTGGAATTAGAGAACGTTCTTGTCCGAGTGGCTTTATTAAGCAGTCGCAGATGATGGCAATTTGTTTGCTTAGCAGTGTGTGTTTAGATTGGGGTAACCAACAGTGAAGGTAGTTGTGTGTGGGTGAGGAAATTAGTTTTCTTTGTTGCGGTGCCTTCCAAACAAATCCGTTATTTCTTCTCTTCATTGCCTCGGTCCCTTGATGTGGCACTAAATTTTGCTATGTGCTCTTCGTGACATTTCCTCTCACTCTAGAATGCTCTAGTAACAGTTGATGCTAAAGTTCAGCTGAAGTGTTCCTTGCAGCTAACCACAGCAACATTTCTTTGTCTTTGTGATCAGTTGGACGCACGTTATTTGGCATGCCTTTTATAACACAAAACGTATCTTTTTTTTTGTTTACTGAACAGTCCGGAAAAAATCGGGGACATCTGTCCCGACTGGGACAGCGCGGGCAAAGTCTTGGACAGTCCAGCAACATTTGGGACGGCTGGTAACACTTGTTTAGGCAAGTGTATAAAAATAAAAAAAAAATTGTCGAGCATTGTCGAGCTTCAACTGCTAACCCGTAAAGGTCTTTTTAAAAGTTAACATAACCGAAATACAGCAGTGTCGTGGGGTGAAGTGCTTGCAGTGTATTGCAGTAATGCATGCATAACGCACGCGTGTGTGTGTGTGAAATGGAAGCGTAGCACTGCAATTAGGCCTAATGCGATGCGCCGTGCTGTGTCTCATTACTGGTCATGCGACAGACGGCATCAGCACCAACTTCAACCTTTGTAAAGAGTCGATATGTTCCCCCCATAATTATATTTTTTAATTGTGGCAAGTGATTCACACTGCAGTAAACTTCTAGTATATCGCATGAATAATTTAAAGTTGTTGCATGGCCCCCAATAAAGAAGTGAAAAATACCTGTGACAGACTCTTTGGTACTCCAGATTTTGTGCCATCAGATATGTGCTCTAAAATAAAGATGATCATTATTATTGAAAGACATACTCAGGCTAGGTATTGGCGATGATTGTGCATGTTTTGCAGATTTCCTTTTAAAAGCTCATGCTTCACTTTATCGGGTTTTCTTTAGTTATTAAACAAAATAGCTCCCCATGAATGGTCTAAAATTAAACACACAGTTTGTCATGGGGCAAGTTGAGCTTAGCAAGAAAATGATTTACGAAAACCATTCTGCCGCATAACTAAGAGCAAGGTGGTTTCACAAAACATGTTGACCTGAGATGATGGCACGTGTTCAAGCATCTTACAAAGGCTGCTTGTTGTTATAATGTGGCTGTAATTGGACAAATGTCTGTCATCAGGTGTGGAGATACATCGCATCTCTGATGATCAAGTTTTTAAAGAATGGGTTTTCAGGGGATGCTAAAGACTTTTTTGAAGGGGTGAGCATTAGAGAGCATTACTTTATTAGTCTCCAATTTCATTAGGTAAGCACTGAGGCTTGCAGGCATGCTAAATGAGCTATTGCAGAAATATACATAATGAAGTTGTCGAGAAGACTTTGTTAACAGTACATTTACAGGCTTCACGCAGAATTTGCTTTCTAGCAGGCTAAATTTACTTTTGCTGATGCTTCCGATGGCATCATTGCACTTCGTAAGCACTGGTTTTATGCACTGCACGTGACGATCTTGTTTTTTCAAGGTTCATGTACTGATTAAAAAGTATAGGATCAAGAAACTTACATGCTGTCTTAAGGCATAATCAGGCTCACCATAGAGGTAAGTGGTGACATTTTAGTGAGATATATGTGGGAGGTCTGTGTACATAACATCATAGTAATCTTTCAATGCTGTAGCTTTATTTGTGTAACGAGTGAAGCTTCTTTTCCTGTTAAAAACTTCTGCCAAGCAAACAAGTTCCTACAGTAGGATTTGCCCTTGGGTAAAGCTGGTGGTAAGAGTGAGCTTATTTAGAAGCCCTTCAAGAGTACCCACTGAAGGAGTTAGTACCTATAGGGCAAAAATTCCAGTGCACCAAGAAAGGCAAGGGAGGAGGGTGCAGGTTAACATTTCAGGAGGGTATCTTCTGGACATCATCCTTTTCTGGCCACAAGCTTGTATGGCCAATGTTTAGCAGACTCCTACTAACATTGGTATAAATGTTGCTTCTCTATTGCAAGATGACACACCATATACATTTTGAGAGTCTCCTCACCACAAGCCCTTACATTAGCCTAAAAAATATTTTTTCTGCGGTGCCCCTTTTTTGTCCTAAACAGTTGTCTCAAGCAACAATATGCACATTGTGACAGTCTAGCTGGTGACCACAGAGATGGCTCCTGCCATCATGATGTATACTCCACTCAAAATGTAAGACACTGCAAAATCATAGTCCGGTGTGCGTGCATACGACCTTGAACATGTAAGCAGTGACCTTTCTCTTGTGTTCTCAGCGCTGGCACATGCTTCTCGCACACCTCTTCAAGATTGTGACAGTGAAATTAGTTCTGGCAATGCTGTCTCAGAGGTAAGACTGTGTACACCCTTAGGAACACCATGGTGGAGCGAGCAGAGGTTCATATCAAATGTAGTAATAAACTGGCAACACCGTGGTGATATAAGCACACTTGCATTAATTTATTACATTTTTATTGAGGCTGACATCACAGAGCTAAGCCTAGTTGTGATCTCTTTTCATTATTGTCTACATAGTTTTCCCGTTGGTCACAGCACAGGAAGAAAAATATCTCTGTGGGAGCACCATATTTTAAGCTTGCATGACTCCAATGAAGCACTGTGCGAACAGATATATTGAAAATGTCAATACTTCGGGTCCTATAAATGGTGAACTGGTTGTCACATTCAGCCGGTGATCCAGCAGGAGCTTTAGCATATACTCTAAGGTCATTTTGCATCAACAATGCCACATACAATAGTTTAACAATGGTTGTTAATGGGCAAGATGATGCATAGCTTCAGGGAGGTAATTAAGCTAAGAGGGAAAATTATAGATGCCTAAGCACCACTGGAAAAATGAAAAAGCACAGAAAAAGAGCGGCAGTCACAGCTGAACTACAGAAAATATTTACACTGCACCACACATTCGCATCGTCTAGAATTTTCTCTAATAATGTTATACCAACCTGCCCAGCAACAAGTACTCCTAAGGTAATAAAGTGCAGAATAACACTTGCATAAGACAGGAAACACAGGACACGAGTTAACTGCCTTCTATCTTTGTTTGTGGCTTTAGTAGAAAATATATAAAGAAACAGACACATGTGCAGAGTGACGGTGTGCAATGTCACAGTCATGAAAAACATCACTTAACATTGCCTGCTCGAGAAACTTTCCTTGTTTTCAAAGTTTCAACAAATGTGTCACAATTATATACACCACTTTTTTTCCAGCTTGAACTGCTTCCAACAGTTCACATCTATCAGGACTGCTTCCTGTAATCTTTGTCTGGTATTTAATCTGAACTGACATGCCATAATACTTACACACAATCAGCCAGGTTTGTCTATCTACCCTTAACAGCCTGTAAGTCCACGTGTAACAACACCCGCTCCACCCTTCCAGTGGTCATAGTTCATACGGGTCATTATATCATTCAGTTAGCTGCCTAACTATACTTTTATTCATTCACTTCATATTTCTTGAAAATAGAGATATGTGAACTCTACAACTTTTTTGCAAAAAAACAAATGAAGTATAAGTATAACACTTGCTATGATGGCTTAATTAAAAAAAAATATTTCACGATGATGGCCCAGAAGCTTTCTCTAGAAAACATGTAAAGCCCATATGGAGAAGTATGTGTCCCAGAGAAATTCTGAAACTGCCAAATTCGAAGGGTGTGCAAAATATTCTACGATTTTACATACCAAGTTGAACACTGTTCTATTTGATTCAGTCACCATTATTTGTAGAACTAAATATTTTATACTAG